TTTGGACGCTAGAACAAATCTACCTTAGTACCCATACATGAGCAGCAGGGTAAATAAAACGAATTTCTTTTCTTGCGAATTGCACTCATTACATGGCTTTATTTTGATGGTCTACATGCACAGGTAGGTACTGGCCCAGTGTTAGTGCGTAGTTCTTGACGCCTCTCTTTATTTTTTAGATGTTCTTCATTCCTTTGGGACATAAAGCCCCTTGTAGAAAAGCGACCATGTCGTGTTCAAACTTACAGTGTCGGACAGTGTATATCAATACATGGACGAAGCTATTTTAGCATCGTTTTTAATGCCCTGAATTAAAAAAAAAAACGCCGAAACTAAACAATATTTTCGTCCGCGTGATTGAGAAACAGTGTTCCAAGCTATTCAGTACGTACGATATATTCATGATATTCGTTCTTATAATTAAGAGTAAAGTAAAAATGCACTGACCTTTTCAAATAGAATTACAATACTGGAAGTCAATTTCAGGCTGGTTGTTGTCTGGTTGGTTTTGAAATCACTCACTAGCGCCAGTTGGACCTCTAGCCTACATTATAACTACAGCACGACGTACTGTAATCTTGACCTGCCCACTCGACGGCTCCCTATGGGAGACGCTGTACAACACCACCTAGTCTGACTAAGGTTTCTCTAACACCTCCTCTACACATCGCGTGACGTCAACTGATGTGCCCGGCTTCTGCGGTTATCTCGACTCGGCTCGAGGAGGCCGAGCCTAGCCGCTGTGCAAGTTTTAGCTTCTTCACCCACACTGTTCGCCCGTCGTCAAGTTTGTCGAATACGCAGTTGTCAAAGGTAGAAAGTATTTAACATGTTCACAGAGCTTAGAACGTCCAGATCGTTCGTTGCGTGTTTCGCGGGGTTCGTCGTCATCTTTCCTTTAGTTCGAGCGCGAGAAAAATCTCGGAGGTCACGGCATCGCCTGCGAAGTGGTGGCGTACGTGGCGTACAATTGACTCCGTAGGTGTGACGTCATGGGTCCAAACAAACCGTTGCTAGGGTCGTTGTTATGGACAAATACATGTGGCTAGGATTCGCTACGAACGGTTGACCGTTCAAAAATCAGGAGTAGGATTTTAACTTCTAAAAATCGCAGTATAGGAAGCTTGAATGTCATATATGTTTCGACAGAAGTGTGCCGGTAACCACTTCTTTCTGAAATATTTACGACTGTAACTTCCGGTCCTCAAGATGCCTGCAGGAGACGACGATTGCAAGAAGAATGCCGTCTGCAACACGCCGGCCGGCCAAGCCGGCGCCGGCGACTGAATCGGGTGAATAAAGACGCTACTCTGATATTGCATTTGTTTGAAATATAATGAGTTTCAGACACTTATAAGAATTAATAGTGGGGTGCGATGCAAAATATGGTTTATCACAAGTCCGGGCGTCGATCGAGATGATCGTCTGCTAAAACATCGCAATGCACCCGCGAGAAAAGCACTCCAGGCGGTCGGTAGAGATCCCAAATTTTGTTTGCGGACTCGCGATATATGGGAGGGTGCTTCGTACCTGGTTGTAACCATCGCGTGGAGAAAGATTCTTGCAGTTTCTTTAGATTTCCGCATGACCCCAAAACGCGAAAGAACTAGATAAAAACATAAGGTGAGTTTATTACAGATTGTACTCTCATCACGGGTTCGATGGAGATCTTCACCGAAAGAGCACATTCACTAAATTTAATGTATAAAAAAAATTGCGAAATTGCGATAGACATGCAATATTTTAATAACCTAACAGCCTCAATAATAATAATAACAAACGACTTACCTCGACGGCGTACGCTTTGTTTCTCGTGCTGGCCTGCACTACGCCGGTAATGCACTTCAGGTCGTCGTCGTAACTGATCTGCATGACGTGGTTTGATTTTACGGAATTTTCGCCCCTTTGAACTAAGCTGGGTTCTTCACAGAAAAAAAAAACGCACATTGCGGAGGCCTCTTCGGCCATGGCGATGCACTTGCTTGTGTTGCTCGTTTACCGACGCAATTCAATGAAGACGCCCGCTGCAACAGAGGCCAGCAAATATATCGTGTCGTCTGCTACCAAAGCAAAGCGGAGTGGAGTACTTCAGAAATGGCTTTTATCGTTGCAATACGACGCTAAGATAACAAGAACATCTTCATAATTAGATATCAAGAAGTTAGGTTGCTTACAAAAAATATTTACTTACTTATAAGCGAAATTCTAGCCTCGTGTGGAGTCTCCATGCATTAGTCCATAACAACGTCCCTAGCAACGGTTTGTTTGGACCCAGAATCCTTGTTTGACGTCATCACTTACGGGGTCAATGCCCAGAACAATTCTTTTTTTCCGTTTTTTTTTGTAAATTTTTATTTTCTGCTTGCACCTTTGGAGTAAATTGCAGTGCGATACATTAAGAAACCGATTTTTGTGGGTTGTCTAAAGTGCATTAGAAGCACTAGTTTACATGATGTAGTTCTATTGAAAAATTCTAGCACGTTGGCGGAATGGTGGTATTTGAAATCTCTCAATGGCACTAGGAACAAACCTGAGGTACTCGTATGAATAAATCAAAGCTAAAGACGGTACTTGCAGAGCGGCTATTTTACGAAATTCAAACAGCACGAGATATCTCTTCTTTAGGAAATCTCTGGGGGTCGCTAAAAAACTCGGCTACTTTGCAACGTGAAACACCATGGATTGTTTTTTTTATATACACCCCTCCTCCCCTATGTTGACCCTCGACATTTCAGGTGTGGGCTATTGGCCCCCACAGTCAAATGAGTTGAGACCCCTGATATAGGTGATAAGCGAAGCTTTGAAGTAGTGTTGAACAGAAAAGCCGCAACTGAGCAAGTTCATAGCATGATTACTGGGTACGAAGATCAGGTATAGAGAGTCTCCCGTATGTACATCTTGCATGTTGGCTTGAGTAACGTACACCGGGAAGATCAGCCAGATGATGTCGTCGAATGCTTAAAAAACAAGTGGAGCAAACGCAAAGCAGCCTTGGCTATCTGCTCTGTTACAGAGACCACCAGCAAAGCCAACGTAGAGCAGGCGAGTATGATTCTACTGAATCCCAAGCTGAGGAATTTATGCAGAGAGATACATGCTTGTTAAGTTCATTGATCTTGGCATGGACGTGGATTTCACTAGCGGCATGAAGAAAGACCGACAGCATTATTAAGGAGAGGAGAAAGTATTCGCCTAGTAAACCATCTTATAGCGGAGGTGGCGAACCGTTTTTTAGGAAAACGAATGGAACGATGGGACACCAAGAGGAAAAAAAAAAAGAAGCAATACAAAGAAATCCGCGAGACACACAGCCAGTAGCAGGAATACCGTGGGCAGGAACCGTGGTCGAGACGATTAGTCGTCTCGACCAGACGACTGGTCGAGACTTCCGTTGCCTTCGGTATCATTACTTTACGGTGAGAGAAATACGGATGGCGCTCCATTAATCTCCATGGCAAACTCCTGCTGTATAAACAACTAACAACCTTTTTTTTAGCCCTAGCAAGTTTTTTTTTTTTTTTAGTGACTGTAAGAATAAAAAAATAAAATCTGGCAGACTAATTTCACGCTGTCCAATCCTCTAACAATAAAACTGACTTTAGTTATTGGCGTGACTTCAATTACACTTCTCGAGCTTTAACAACATCGGCTGAAAACGAAGGCGTTGAAGTTGTATCACGCTGACGCTCCTCACGAGGGACACGTATGCTCATACCGCGTGGCAATTTTAGCGCGTTCGGTCATTGGTTCATCGCCCACGTACATTCTCTTGACCCTTCGATCAGTGTTTCGTTTTTTTACGACTATGAACGGTCGCAAGACATGCGACGATGTTGCAACTAAAGCCCTGCCGTCTGACGAGTTGTCCCTGGCACCTCTCATGTCCAAGTCGACTCCTTCACCCAGTTCTTCATCTCCAAGGGCCTTCTCCGCTGCCGATGCGTTCGCCTACCCGGAACGTCTATGTCCTGCGAGAAGAATGGCGGCTTCTAGTCGCCCATGCGCTGTACCGTCGGGGTCAGTCGGCCTGTTCTCGGCACACTCCGCGAGAAAAACGTCCACACTGGCGCAAGTTTCCATTCAGCACTCTGCAGCTTCCAATGGATTGCACAACGCAAGTGACTGCATCTTAAAGGTATCTTCAGACGCGAGTTTGGGGAATTCACCCGAAAAACGAGCAGGAAAGATGTACACGATGTCTACCGACAAGGTGGACAACACGGAAAAGGCACCCCAGAGGACTGCACACGATTTCTGGAACGGGACTAAGGAGCAGGTATTGCACAGCATCCCAGGGAGCAGCTTAAACAGTTCTATAATTCTCGCCTCACCGAGTATATTAGAGAAGATATCACAATGTATTCAAAAGCAAGCTTTCGGTACTCTTACAAGGGTTACCAAAGGCAACACCGCAAACGCGACATTTAAGAATGGTGAAAAAGAGTTCGCAAGAAAGCTGACAAATAAAGCAATCGAAAAGGCTACTACGGCTGCCGAGGAGAAGGCAAAAAGTCTCGCACTCAATTCCGCAGTGAGAGCATTCCAGCAGAGTTCAGGGAGGCCTCGCTGCTCCGTAGGTAAGGCCGATCTAAACCACGCGTTGGACGAAGCCATAAAGAACACCCTTGGGGAAGATTTAGAGAGTGCATCGCCATACCTGGCTTCTAAAATACCATTGCCACTCTCTCCATTATGTTCACAACCACTGGCACATGTGCGCTGGAGTGAGGTCAGGATGTCAAGTGCTACCAGCAGGGAACATTGCGGATATGCGAGGCCAATGATGTACACACTCGGATCTGGAGCTCCAAATCCTATGGCAGGAACATACGACGGGTCTTTGTCGACGGAACGAAAACGCACCTTCAACAATCACACTATTCGTCCTACAGAAGACATAAATAGAAACCTTGAAGAACGTTCCGACGCCAAACGCGCAATTGTATCAAAGCTTTTGTCGCTCACACTATCCGAGCATACGTCGCGTCAACAAAAGGGCTGGATACCGGTGTTGGACATCGCACCCACAGATCTACCTGCGGAAGACACTGGCATAGGCGACGCCGTCATCAGATCTACGGAGCACCGGTTGGGGACTACCTGCAAAGCTTCCGACGGAGTCACTCCAGTTTCCCTCAACATGATCGAACCAGAAGGTCAGAAAGTCCAAGGTCTGCAGTTCGCGGCAACGGGTACACGCGTCCTTCAGGCACACAGGGGGACACCTGCTATTAAAAAAGAGCTGTGCCTTTACCCGCTGGCTGTATTTATTGTTCTATTCACAACGGCGTTCTTCGTCTTACTTCTGAAGAGGTTCTACCTCGGGGATGGTTTCAAACTAGAGAGGACGATGCTACCCGAGATGTGCAGGGCCATAAACTGTGTTCAGGAGGCGAACTACTTGAGTAAACTGCTTTCCTTAGCTCTGGATCCTTGCGACAACTTTTACAGGTTCGTCTGTGACCGTTCGACGAGGGAATATTCGATCTTAAGAGATGTTCATGAGGGGCCTACCGATCGTTACGTCGGGAAACTCGAAGCAATGATGTACCCTCTGCTCACGAGCGGGAATCAAACCGATGTTGCTCCAGTGCTACGTAGTCTCTTTAACCAATGCAGCAATGAGAAAAAAGTAGTCGAGGACGGCTGGAAACCGGTGCTTGAGCTCATGTCCCGAGTATCGCTTCAGGGGTTCCCACTCACGTCACCCATCGAAGACGTGTCAGTCTGGAAAGTGGCGGCGAAACTACTTCGAAAGACTGGAACGGCAGCGTTTTTGAGCGTCAGCGTCACTTCCCATCCATCGACCAGAAAAGACATCGCTTCTCTAGACCTGCCCGAAGCTCTATCCATGATTTCCGGTGTGGAAATGAGCGAAATTATCCGAATCTACACAAAATCAGTCTTCTACGCCGTCAGCGTGCTCGCTGAAAAACAGGTTCCATCCGTCCACATGCTTAATGTCGTCAGATTCGCGAGTGAATTAGAGAAGCTTTACCAGAACCACAGCATTAACCGCACTTCCCAGCTAAAGAAGTTTGACCCCGAGTCTCCTCTTCACTACTTCCTGTCTGAAGTGTTTGCGAATGTACCAGGCATTGTCTACGCTTCCGGAGGGAACTCTGAAGTGATCATCAACGCTCCCGAGTTTTGCTCCGAGTTGCAGCGGTTAGTAGACAGCACCGAACCTCACATCGTCATGAACTTTCTTGGCGTGAGACTGCTAATTCATATAGCACCGTTTTTGCCATGGCCTGATCTGCACGATGTCTTCAGCAGCCTCGTTTATCAGAAGTCTCGGTTCGGAGTTGAACGGTGGAGGTTTTGCCTCCGCGCCGTGGAACAGGCCTTGCCTTCTCTGTTCCTACAGTTTTCGCTGCTCGCCATCGGCAACCGCAGACTGATAGCTATGTCTACGAAGCTTGTCACCGCTATCAAACGAGAGTTTCTGAGCAACATACATAGCACGACTCACCTCAACAATGCTTCAAAGACCGTCATTCAAGTCCTGATCTCCACCACGACGTTCAAAATTATGGGGGCCTCCTGGATATATAACAAGAATCTTGATATGCAGATTGATGATCCTGCATTGTATAAGATAAACAGCGCCCTTCACTCTTACGTCAGTGTTCAAGAAATGGCCTTCATGACAAAAATTGCCCGTGGGTCTTCAAATAGATGGCCTCTGTCGGCATTCAGCACCGACTGCTGGTACGAGAGCGGCTCCAGAACCATCTACGTTCCGATGCTCATCTTTAGCGTGTCCCTCAGAGGCAGCGACACTTCTCAGATTGCTCAAGCCGGGATATGGATTGGTCGCTGCATTTTTTACATGCTGCTATACGTAGCCAACTCTAAAAATATTTCCGGACAGTGGCTGAGCGACGAGGCGAGGTATGTTCAAATAGCCAGTCGGCTCCTATGCCCTTGTAGATGTTCAATTTTCGTGAGCTGTGACTGGTAGAATAGAGCCACAATATTAGTGGCAATGTTGTTCTTAAGGGTGCTATTTTTATCTGTCGATCAGAGTGACATCCATGCGTGTTAGGTCTCGCGTTTGTTGAGACAAATGGCGTGATAGGAATTAATGTTTAAGGATACTATATAAGCATTCTAGGTCTCGTACTGTGCCCTTTAGGTTAAACGTTCACGTAGATACAATTTTTTTGCGGGCTAAGTGTGAACCTTTAGGCAGAAGTCACACTGCTTATGCATCACACAAAAGACAGTCTGCATACAGATTCGAACGCACGTCACCACGAAAATCGTGCTTCAAATGCGGCATGGCAATGATTTCGAAGAGAAACTTTGCACGCGGCATTCGAACAACGGATATTTCGATGACTCGTGTATGCAGACTTCCTTTTGTATGAAATATGAGCACTGTGACCCTGGATTTAGTCTTACTTCCTTGCGAACATAAGTGTGAACGCGCAACCGAAGCACTAGGGAAGCCAACGAGCTCGCACTGAAGGCGGAGCTTCTTGTCTTAGCTTAAGCGAGCGTTCACAGGCGGCTAAGCTGTGTACGCGGCTGCTGAGCGCGGGTTGACGGCGAGCTTCCGCAGTTCCTTTGCAAGGAGCATTGCGCACCATAAAGGTTGCCGGTCTTAGCAGACTAATGTGAGCTTGTTCTCGGCATGCGCTCTAAACATCTCCCTCAAATATGGCGTCCAGTGAATACCCCTTACACTCAGTTCACCCTTAAGTTGAGACTGCAGCCAAAGCTACAAACGCGTGCTAGCCGGTCTCCTGGCTTTGAGACGTGCATTTCTAGCGCGAGCACTCGTTCTGCGGAAGAGCGCTTCAAAGCAGCGACCTCGAGCTCTCGTGCTTATCGCATTGGCTGAAGTCTCAGCTTAAAGGGTCCCTGAAAAGCGTTCCTGGCCATTTCTTTTTGATTCGCATCGCGTTTGCTCGATTTAGTGTGTGGGACTCTAGGAACACATTAAAAATGAAATAAAGAAAAAAATCGGATTATTTTGAACATGATAGGTTCAATAATTGCAGAATTTTGAGTACATTTTTTATTGTTGAGGACGCCATTCGTCTGAACCAATAGAGAACCAAAACGACAGGAGCGTATAGCAAATCAGTTGCTGTACTCCGTTTCACGTTATTATGTTTAAGCGCAGTGGATGCTACGAGCCATCGGAGCCAATCGGAAGCCGTGTGAATGACACGTGACCTTAGAGAGGGGCCACAGCGACGCGCGGAAAGCGCATCACAGGCCACGTCCACAGAACGGGATTGGCTAAGATAGCTCGTAGCATCCGCTACGTCCGGACGTAAGGTGAAACATGGTATAGGCGGGTCCTTCTTTTATATATGAAAGGCTAGTGACGTCAGCAGGCGCCGTTATCACCATTATCCGGTTCGCACTTCACACGAGGGCTTCGAATGACGTCAATGAAAGGCTACTGACGTCACTCCCCACGTCGCAAGCTGCCGTCGCCGGGCAGCAGGCGCCGTTATCACCATTATGCGGTTCGCACTTCACACGAGGGCTTCGAATGACGTCAACCCCTTTTGTAGCAGCTGCAAACCTAATCTTCACCGGAACGCGTGGGAGGGTGTTCCTCTTGGCCACACGCGCCTTATCATCCATCATGTGGTTTTGATGCTGGTTTTGTGGTTTTCTTTATTGAAACGAGTACCGAGCTGTATGCTGTATGCCTGATTTCAAAGGAGATATGCTGTTTTGCCTTCAATTGTTCGCCGGGAGTTTTTTTTTTTTTTTTGCTTACAACGACGACACGAAAATTTCCTTGGCTGGTAGAGGTATACAGCTTCGCTGTAAAAGAACAGCATCAATTAACCACACTATCGAAGATAGCAAATAAATAATATATATTAGGCACATGACGACATATATAGGACATATATAGGTACTTGAAAGGGCTGTAAAGATAATCGCGTTACCTCAAGGATAACAGAAATATACAGAACGCACGACCTCACTCACAATGCAAGCGAACTTGTAACGCAGAAAAAAATTATAATTGTGCTGAGATCCAGTCTTTCGATATTTGTCAAATTATGCTTATGACGTTTATTTAGGACAAGTGGAAGATTGTACCTTAGCATGTGGAGCCTGTAACTTGTACGATTTATGGGTATTTTCCAATGCTCCCCCTCACGAACGTCGTATACCCTGATATTTGGTGTTAGGTTTGAAATATGTCCAAGGAAAGGCTCGTCAGAACGATGGGCAGATCTGTATCGTGTCAGTAGAGTATACTCATACAGGTCTAGGACAGTTTTTAGCAGACTTGTGCCCGTTACCGAAAAAATGTTATGGATTACAATTACAAATTAACGAGCCTCAAATGCAATGGGTCACCATTACACATTACTTTTGCTGAAAAGTAACGGATTACTTTACTCGGTACTTTAAAAATTACCTTCACGTTACTTTTCCCGTACACTTGTCCAGGGAGCATTAGAAGCAATCGTGATGATTTCAAGAATGTTCTCCAACACTACTCTCCATTTCTCATACGCCCGCATTATGGTAATCTTTGTAGAAAAAAAGAAATATTTTTAAGAGAAAGAGTTCACCTGTAAGCTGACAAGGTAGCGAAAGCTGCAACCACACCCGCCAATGAACCCTGGTATTCTAAAGACGGAGATACCGGTGCGCATGCTCAGTAGCAGCGTCTACTTCCGCTAGCAGGCCAAGAAGACAACGCCGAGTGGGCGTTGTGTTCTTGATCTTTGTATATCTCATATTTGTATACGCCTCACACGTTTGTCTAGTAGGTCTAGTGAACGGTCAGTCAAAAAATCGTGTTTTCCTTTCGGTTATTATTCTCTTCACGATCTGTTCTATTTTGTTGAACTTCCTATCTTCAGGCTTCTGATTTGCCCACTCATATTGCTACAGTTTCTTTATTATGTTCATATATTTTTTTAAGTAACGAGTAATAAAAGCAATTCGTTACAATTACTTGTAACGAGGTTAGATTACAAATTAATGCCTCAGAAAAGTAACTTGGGAATTACAAAATTACTTGAAAAAGTAACGAATTACAAGTAATCCGCTACATGTAACGGATTACTTTCCAAGTCTGGTTATTAGACGTAGTTACTTAAAAAGTGGAAGTGTGTGTGTATCGAAAGGAACGTTGAGTATTGTGCGAACAGCCTTTCTTTCAAAAATCTGTAATTTATTGATAGTTGACAAAGATGTGGTACACCACACTAAATGACAGTAGTTCAAACGAGGTACAAAAAGCGCCTTGCAATAAGCATTTTTATGTGACGAGGCAATACATTTCTGAATTGACATAGTTTCCCAAGCACTCTTGATAGCTTTTTTAACAACATTATTAACGTCAATCCTAAGACATCTTTTGATTACAATAGACTCCAAACGTTATGACGTTCGGGACAATTTCTATGACTAAGGGGCCCAAGGTAATATTAAAAGAAAAAGAAATACGTCTATTTTTAGGTTTAAAAAGGACATCTTTGCTTTTGCTCGTGTTGAATATTAGTGAGTTAACTTCCCTGCAATCATGCAGCTTCTCTAGTGAAGCATTCGTTTCATTAACATTGTCTTTTATTTCTGTAACTGAAAACAAAAAAAACTTGTATCATCGGCATAAATGATGAAGGAATCATCGGCAAAAATAATTACGCCTCAGACTAAAAGCACTTGCCCATTTTGGGGCTTAAAATCATGGTTGCCAGGTACCTGAAGCTACATCTGAAATTACAGGAAACGCTTTTCCGTCCTCCACGAATATTTAAGCAGTTCGCGACGGAGCAAAGCAATATTACACGAGCTTCCTAACACCAAATCTAATGCCAAGAAAGTCGCACTTTTGAATCACATCGAACGTTAGTTGCGTCTGCTCCCTACAAGGCATTAAGATGGCGGCGCCCTCAAGAGTACCAAGGAACAGGGTGCCGATACTCTAAGCGTAGCTCGTTTAGTGGCTCTAGCCTACCCTTTTCAAAACCGCACCAAGCAACATTGGCGGCTGCCATTTTTTAGGCACAAAACCCGTGATTGGGTTTGGTGCCTTCCAAACGTGTCCAATAGATGCTCAGAGTGGGTGCCCAAGCAATGGTGAGCTCGGATACTTGACGGGGCAGCTACTATATTTATTTATTTATTTCAAATACCCTCAAGGTAGTAATACATGGCGCGTGCTTTTCGGAGGGGACCCATTCTGCGTGCCACACATTTTACTTTTAACTCGAAAGCGTTAAGGAGCTCGTGTCGCAGAAAAGCCGGCGCCGGCGTCGGCGGCGTCGTGACGGAAACTCCCGATTGGTCGCTAGGGTCATGACGTCACAGCCCGATGACCTCGCGCGGGAATTTCGAACCAACCCACAACGCGCTCACGTGAAACGAGACGTCACGCGCGTAAAATGAAAGTGATTAAAACAACGTGACATAGAATGTCACGTTGTTTTCATTTGATCCTCACTTTATGGAGTAATCCATTCGTCTTAAAGAAACATTTGAATAATTTGAGGCGGGATTCGAACACACGACCCTTCGGTTGCGAGCCAGACACGCCACCCACTAAGCCATATGTCCTTTTTTTTTTTTTTTATTGGACTAAGCCATATGTTTTTTTATTGCCTTGTATTGTCTACTGGTAGATGACGTCATACGCTTGTTAGATTGAGACACTAAAATACATCAGCTGACTGCCATAGGCCGGAGTCACTAAAAGTCCCTGAGGTTGGCAAGCTCCTCAAGCAGCGGCAACCACTCAGGTTGAGGTTGCTGGGCCTTGTACAACCCCTTTAGAAACATGTTCCACAAAATACCTGTGCACCATTTCCCGGACAAACATCGACATCAACGTGACGCGACACCGCAACACGCTGTGCAATCCTAGAAGCACGAGTAAATCGTATGGTACACTATCACCCTTTGCAACAGCTAAAACACCTTTGTCATGTCCACCGCACTTTCTGCTCACTGACAGGAAGAGCGTGAGAAGCGATTGAGAAGGCGATGCGAACGGGGTCGAAAACGTTATCGAATTCCACTCTTCGAAGCTTAAAGGGGTACTCCACAGGTTTTTTCATTGTATCCGATTTGCTTGAAATTTTGATAAACTAACCAAAAAA